TGACCCTTAGGGTAAGAAGCCAGGCAACTGATAAGGCCCCCTGGAGGACACCAGACGCTCTCAGCGCCAAGCACAGGAGGTGTCTGGGCTCTCCAAGCAGTGGGAATAGCAGCCCAGTGGGGACCTCAGTTCAGGGCTTCGCCCCCATGAAACCGGACACCCCCCTTCAAGGACGAGGTCTGGTCCCAGCGCCCAGGCACAGGCTCTCACCAGGGTCCTCTTGCACCCAGGGGCCTGGCACACCAGGCGCCACTGGCAGATGCAGACTGCCACACCACTGACCGGGGTCCCAGCCCCAAGACCTGACAGAGGAGTGGGGGCGGGTATTAGGGTTGCCAAAGAAAGGTTAGTCCAATGCTGGTCCAGCACATGGGACCCAAACTCCCCGGCACATGGCCTTTCTGTCCTGGGCGATGTGAGTTACCTCACGCACCCAGCAGAAAACAGCTGCCTTGTCATTACAGAGATAAATTAAGCTGCTTAATACCAGGTTTCGGCTGGAGGATGCTCTGGAACGGAGGGGTGAGGCCTGCCATGACGTCAGCCCACCATCCCTCTGGAGCATGTCTCCGAGAGCCCCACTGATGTTGGCATCATGTTTGGACCCATGCAGGGGTGGGCACTTCAGGCAGCTGCTCAGAGGACCCCCCCCCCAAGTCCAGGCCACCTAGGGAAGCTGCCCATACATATACCTGGGCTGCCTCCCCAGCAAGGACACTGCAGCCAGGAGCCTGGAGCTACTTTGGTGGGGAGGGGCAGTCTGCACTGGCCTGAGTGCTACTCATTCCCCCAGGACCATGTTCCCAGCCCAGAGACCCTATGCTGCCCCCTGGAGGCCTACAGCAGGGCCTGCAAGCAACAGGTCAGCTGCCAGTGCGCCTGTGCGCACTGGTCTGGAGGGTCCAAGGGAAGGCGGGAAAGCTCCCCACCACCCTCGCCACCTCTGAGACTCCACCCCTGAGGCCCTGAGCTTGGTGGGAAGGTGCTGGGCTGGGCCTGCACAGACCTGGGGCCACTGCTGGACACTGCTCTGGCTCGAACCCTGCTTCCTGTACACCAGGCCTGGCTGCCTGCTCTACCCAGCAGGCCTGGCCCCTGCATTCAGAAGTGAAGTTCAGCCCAGAGCCCTTCCCTGCTGCCTCTTGGTGGATTCTCTACCACAGGCGCACATGCTGACGCCTAATTTGTTCTCTAGATGGTGAGCAGTGATGCCTGGTGGCCCACAGGACCCAGGCCAACAGACTCCGTGCCAGCAGCTAGACATGCAGGAGAAACTCTGTGAAGACAGAGCCAAAAGGAGGAGAGAAACCTCACCACAAAGCAGCATCAGAGACCCTCTGTGGGGAGCGGGCGGCCCTGAATGAATGACTCGCTCTGTGCACCAGCCCGGCTCAACACAGACGCCTCGCGCCTGAACTCAGTTCCAGAACCTGGCCTTCAGACTGACCTGCAGCCCACCCTCCCTGTTCATGGCTGAACTTCTGAGTCTCAAGTTCCTCCTCCCTGGAGGAAACCGATAACAAAAATAAATGATGTCTGGGACTGGGACGTACTAACAACGTCATGTGCAGAGACCTGCCAGGCCTGTGCTTATCCAGCAACAGGGGAAGAGGGGCACAGGTTTGGGGCACAGCACTACAGGGTGGGGTGGGAGATGTTCTTACGCAGGAAGACAAGGACAGTGAGCTTGTCTGCAGGTCAGCTGGCCTCTCCTGTTAGCACACACATCCCGCTCTGGTGCCCACACGTGCCCAACGGCATCCCAGATGTCCTGCTCTCTCTGCTCTCAGTCCCATGGCAGTTTCTGGTTCTCTCCCTGCACCCTCCCACCCTTGGGTGCTTCCACAGGAAGCACCCACCTCTGCAGCAGGGCTTACCGTGCGCCTGGAGGAAGGCCATTCTCCAGACCCAGATGCCCTCTGAGGCCCAGGCCCTGCCCCTCTGGCTGCCCAACTCTGGATCTCTGTCCCACTGGCCGAGGCCCTCATCCCACCTCCCACCCCCTCACATGATGTGGCCCTTGTGGTATGTCCCACACTCACTCCTACACGCCCAGCAGCAGAGTCAGTCCCAGTAAACGGTGCTCTGGAGCCGCAGGCCCACCCTCCGTCTCGTTCATCCTCCCTCCATCGTGGAGGCCGAGCCCCACACTCTAGGCATTATCGTCCCTGTCCCCAAGCAGTACGGAATCACTGTGAGAATAGTTGTGAGAGGCAGCAAAGGGGGGAGGTGCTTGCTTTCCATGCAGATGACTTAGTTTTGATCCCCAACATCCCATATGGTTCCCCCAAGCTCTGTCAGGAGTGATCCCACAACACAGAGCCAGGAGTAAACTCTGAGCACTGTCAGGCATAGCTCAACTTTTTTTTTTCTTTTTGGGTCATACTCAGCGATGCATTCAGAAATTACTTCTGATAGTGCTCCGGGGACCCTATGAGATGTCAGGGATCAAATCTGGATTGGCCATTTGCAAGGCAAGTACCCTATTTTCTGTACTACTGCTTTGGCCCTGCTTAAAAAATTTTAAGGATGCCAGAAGCTGAGTCCCCGAGACCAGATGCAGACTGTGGGTGGGAGCTGAGGCAGATTCAAGAAAGTTTTCCCCAAGGAAGCAGGTCGACCTCTGTCACAATGGCTGCATTTGGGTAGGTGTGGGAGACATCTGTCAGGGTCCACCAGCCCCCAGCTTTCTTCCAGAGTGGACATCTCATCTCCTGTGAGCCCACAGGGTCACAGCTGGGAGGGCCCAGCACTCTCCCCACAGTGCCCTGCACAGAGGCTGGGAACTGAGTGAGGGCCAGTGACGTCCCTAATTCGGGCCCTGCACCCCACTTACCTGGCACTCATGCGAACTCAGCAGGAATACAGAAATGCCACCAGCATAGCGATAACAAGGAGCAGACACTCAGGACCTGACAATCAGCCTATGGTTGAGAGACCACGTGTGACCAGCTCTTTATCTGAGACGCATAAAGAGCTCTCACAACTCCCTGGTGGATGACGAGTAACCTGACCGGAAAACGTCAGCGACCTGTCAGGCATGTCCCTGAAGAGGACAGTAAGCAACCAGGAAGGTTGGGGGTGGGGGGCACAAGGTCCACGTCCGGGGGCTGGGGCAATAGCACAACAGGTAGGGCATTTGCCTTGCACGTGGCTGATCTGGGTTCGATTCCCAGCATTCCATAGGGTCCCCTGAGCATCGCCAGGGGTAATTCCTGAGTGCAGAGCCAGGAGTAACCTCTGAGCATCGCCGGGTGTGACCCAAAAAGAAAAAAAAAAAAAACAAGGTCCATGTCTGGAGGTGCCTCGATGCCCCAGCAGGCAGTCTGTCTGGGCTGCAGAGAAACCTACCACTCAGCACTTCACATGCCCAGCACCCCCCACCCCCAAGGGAAAGAAGGGGGAACCCTAAACCCGGAACTGGCATCTGGAGGGCACAGTGGAAGGGGTCCCAGCCTTGATGCTCTGGCTCTGTGCAGTGACCACAGCAGGAGGGAGCTGTGGACTTCCATCCCAGGAGAGTGAGGCCAGCCACAGGAGGGTGTCCTGGGATCCCGTCACGTGAAGGCCCAGATATATCAGGAAGCCTGGACACTGTCCAGGCTGAGGGCCCAGGATGGGCGGGTGGACGCTCACTGCACAAAGCACAGCTCTACGAGAGTCTGAGCCTGAAGGAAGACAGCCCTGTCCGAGGCTGTGCACCAGCTCCTGATACTCCCTCACTGCTCCAAAGATGCCCTCAGGCTGCAGCCAGGGGCGGAAGGGGTTGTGACATGGTGGCACTTTGTTTTTTTTTGTTTTATTTTGTTTTTTGCTTTTGGGTCACACCCAGCGGTGCTCAGAGGTTATTCCTGGCTCTGCACTCAGGAATTACTCCTGGTGGTGCTTGGGGAACCATATGGGATGTTGGAAATCGAACCCAGGTCGGCCGCATGCAAGGTAAACCGCTGTGCTATTGCTCTGGCCCCTACATGGTGACACTTTGATAAGACTCTCAACTGACCTCGAGCCAAGCCCAAAATGAAGGAACCTGAGCCTGCAGCAAGTCGCACTCTCTCGGGTCTGCGGAAGCTGACCACCAAGCCTTCAGGGGTCACTTCCACTTCAGGATTCACTTCCAGGGAACACCCCAGGCAGGCGCCAGGCCCCATGCACCTTCCCCACCCCACCCCCCAGTCCAGCCTCAGTGAGACCCCCTGAGGTCCTCCCAGAGGAGCCAACTGTGGCAAAAACCATTCGTCTGGGCTCCGTTTCCGATGTGGCCATAAACCAGAGCCACAGGGGCAGCCAGGCCACAGAGCCACCCCGACCTTTATATGCTCCAGAACATTCCATGAGGAGTCACATCTACAAACTCACACCTTCCAGAGTGTTCCATGAGGAACCCACAGCTGACAGCCTCTAGAACATTCCACGAGGAGAATCGTTCCCCACGGTTCTCAGCTTCCTGTTGTGTAGAATCTGTTAACTTCAACTTCCTGAAGGTTGAGGGTTGTGCAAGACTGACTGGCACCTACTTTCCTCAAAGTCACCAAGTAGCAGGGACCCTGGGCATTTCCTGGCACAGCCCAGACCTCTGTCCTCCTGTTGCTCAGAAGCAGACACGCTGAGGGACATTAAGGCCACTGCTTGCCCTGTCCGGAGCATGTGGTGCCAGGTGTGGCCATGCTGGGAGGCATCTTGAGCCTCCCTGGGAATTTCCCCTCCTGCTCCAGCAGCTTGGACCAGACTGGTGAGCGACAGGGAAGGCGTTCTCCTTACACACAACCAACCCAAGCTCGATCCCTTCACCCCATGTGCCCCCCCTCCCAAGTCTGCCAGGAGGGATCCCTGAGTGCAGAGCCAGGAGTCAGTCCTGAGCACCAATGGATGTGGCCCTAAAACGAAAGCAAACACAGAGAAAGAGTACCTGGAGCTCACCCCAAATCCATCTGGGGAAGCAAAGCATTTCCCACCAGAAGAGACCCTCAGAGCCCCGCCCCGACCTGCACTGCACTTACTTCATGGGTTTGAACAGCGCTTGCCCGAAATTCTGGAATGTCATGATGAGCTTGAGCTGCGTTCCCCCCGACTTCATGGCTGTAGGGGGAAGAGGTGGGCATGGGGCAGGGAGTCGGGTGGGCGGAGGTACAGGGTAGGGAAAGGTGTCGGGGGAGAGGTACAGGGTTACTGGCCGCCCAGCCCCTGCTACACCCCAGAATCCCCACCCCGGATCCCTCCTGCCCTAGACCTCACTGTGTCCCAGACCCCTTCTCTGCCCCAGACCCATTAGGGGCCTCTGACATGGTCCGTGTGTGGCACCAGCGACATCCCCAGAACCCCAGGCATCTTCATGCCCAGGCAGTTGCGGGAGAGGGACTTCCACTGTCCAGTACTGACTCCCTGGGCAAGGAACCCCCCCAGGTGCAACCCTCAGACTTTTCTGCAGAGACAGGAACTCTCTGCTCTCTCTCTCCAGAGCAGGGCAGTTTCTGACAGGTCCACAATCTTCAAATTCCCTGGAGGCAAAGTATTTGGGGCTTTTGACAACTGAGGTGTAGAGAGTGGAGTGGAGTGTCTATACCCTGCTACGTAACACCCTGCCTGGTGGGGGCAGACCCATCATGACACACACTTGTTTCACAGAGGACCTACAGGCAAGAGAAGGGGATTCTAAATAGCCTTGACACCAACTCAGGTGTGGCTGCAATTGGTTCATGTGGAGTCAGGCTCCACTGCAGAATAAGATACATTTGCATTTCATACTCGCAAGCAGGATTTTAGAGGCTGGATAGAAACCACCCCCATATTCCACGTGAGTGTGGACCTCTGTGCATTGTAGAGGAGCGAGCCCTAGTCAGACCCTGGCTAGCCACTGTTCCACCAGTGGAGATTGGTTCCACCCACCAACTTTCCAGGTGCTTCTGGGCACCGACACAAGGGCTGTGACCCAGTCTGTCCCCCAGGGTGCCTGATCTCCAGAGCAGGGACAGGACTGGTGGGGACAAGGAGACAAGGGCAGGGTGGGAACAGGGGCTGTAGCTGCTCAGACAGTACAGGGGATGCATGGCAGGAACAGTTCAGGCCACAATCTGGGGTGGGAAGGGGTGCTCCTGGCCACAGGCTTTGGGGGCTCGATTAGGTCTCTCCAGTGATGCTGGGGCCAGGCACTCGCCCTGAGTGTTGTCCCCTAGTCAGAGCCATGGCTTCGTGCTCTGCCCAGTCATGGCTGGGCCTTGGGGTTTGGGAGAGAGGGGCACAGGACTGAGTGAAGGGAGGGCCCAGTATCCCTGCGATCACTCCTGGGCCCTGCACACTGCACCTTGGCCAGCAGGAGCGAGTGGATACTTGTCACTGGTGGTAGGCAAGCTGAGTCCCCAAGACCCGGCCTGCACCCCAGGCCCTGTATTCTCACAGCAAAGCAGTGACCAGCTGTCAGACCCACGGCACAGGTCTGGGGACAGTTTAGAGGTTTCGACAGTCCCTTCTCATCCTGGGGGATGTTTCCTGAGTCTGTCCATGGAGCCGTGCCCATGTGCTCATGAGGGCACAGCAGGGCATGTCTGTGCAGGGTGAGTGCCCCACATGCTTTCTCCACTCAGACACTGTCCCCGTTTCCCCAGGAAGCCCCTGGCCAGACCCTCCTGTCCTGATGGAGGCACTTCTCTCTCAGCAGTATTGGAAGTGTTCCTGCCTGTCTTCCAGGCTGGTCCACTCTTCTGCACCCACCCCCAGGAAGGGGCCCCAGGGTGGAGAGGACCGAGACACCACGCAGAGGGCAGAGGGGGTTAGTGGGAACACCTGGGAGTTGTACAGCCTGACTCTTGGCTAAGGGGATTCTGTGTGTTTGTGTGTGTGTGTGTGTGTGTGTGTGTGTGTGTGTCTGTCTGTCTGTCTACTGGACACACAGCATGGGCCCAAGCCTCAGGGGATGGAGCAATGGGTGGGGTGGGGTGGGGAGGCAGACACAAGCAGGGTACACCCAGCCTGTCAATGTGTACATGGCGACATGCCAAGGGCTGACTGTCACAGCCGGCAGAGGATCCTGAGGCAAGCCTCCAGCCCTGGGTGGAGGGAGCCCCACGTCAGGGGTCTTGAGGGCTGGTTTCAGTGCTACTCAGGGACTCTTGGCAGATCATGGCTCAGGGCCTCTGCTCCCTACAGAGCCTTGGGCGGAAGCTCCTCCCTGTGATCAGGTGACTGAGGGAACTGTCTAAGAACAGAGGCATCCAACAGCTGCTCAGAAGTCTCACACCCGAGATCCCAAAGAAGAGACATTGCCTCAAGTGAACACTGGGCACAGGCCTGGCCTGCGGGTAGCACTGGTCACAGCCACTCACTCAGGTCTCACAGGAATGGCCCAGGGCCCTCCTGGCCTCAAAGTGGTCCCCTCTGTGCCTCTGCTGCAGCCCCTCTCCTGAGGCCCAGACTGCATGCTCTGAGACAGTCCCTCCAGTGGGCGGTCTGGGGCAGGAAGCAGCGGGGAGATGACTCCCAGATGGCCAGCAGGCTCGGTGGGCACCTACCGACACTGGTGATCCTCTGGGCGCCCAGGTCCCGCAGCAGCGCCCCAATGGCCGGGTTGTGCCTCGAGTACAGCTCATAGCGGTTGATGCCCACGTGGAACTTGAGCCAGTTTGGGTAGGCATCCTCTGCCAACCCTCGGGTGGGCAGGAGCCCCTCGTCCTCGGTCCCATCGTGAGGCCTACAGAGACAGAGATGCCCCAGACTCAGCAGACAGGACCAGCCACAGGACCAGACTCCTGGGATTTTTTTTTTCTTTGGGTCACACTCGGCTTTGCACAGGGGTTATTCCTGGCTCTGAACTCAGGAGTTACTCCTGGCGGTGCTCAGGGCACCATATGGGATGCTGGGAATCGAACCCAGGTAGGCCACGTGCAAGGCAAACGCCCTACCCGCTGTGCTATCTCTCCAGCCCCAAGACTCCTGGGATTTGGAAGGTGGGTCCGGGCCCGATCTCCAGACCCAAACAACACGGGATCTCTGCGGAGGCCTGAGCTCAGACAGCACTGCTGGCTCTGCCCTTCCCAGGCTGCCATGAGCTAATGACACCTCTCCAGCCCGCAATTCCCACTCAGCCCAGGAGACCTGCACTGCACTATAACTAAGGCAAGATCAAACCAGCACTCAGCAGGTGCTTGCCGTCTGCCCGGCACCAAGACCAGGGGTGGGGGCGGGGTGACTGGCTCTTTCTGGAACAGAGGAGCAAGCCCACCTCTGACCACAGAGCCACTGCAGACCCCAGACACGCCCCGTCCGCCAGACCTGCTCCTGCTCCCAGCTACGGTTCCAACACCCGGGGACAAGGATGATGCAAGAGCTAAATTTGATTTTAATGAGGGCAGCCTTGGGTGGGGAGAGAGTAGAAAGGAGAGGCGGGCAGTCCTTCTAGTCTAGGCCCTAATGGAGGCCAGAGGCCCCTGCCCACGCTGCCTGGGCTCCAGCCCTGGGAGGGAGGACAGGGGCTTGCCCCAGCTACAGCCGATGGGTGTGTGCGCTCCCTCCCAGGGGAAGAATGGTGTGCAGCCACTGGGGTCTCCCTACGACTGCAGACTCTGGCTTGGTCACCCACCCAGAAGCATCCTTCCTTCTCAGGCTCCCGTGTGTCCCCTTGAATCGGGCTGGCAGACAAAGGCTAAGCCACACAACCTGGCACTGTGTTCAGGAAGGAATCACGGCTGGTCAAATTTCGGGAAAGAAGGGATTTTCCACATGTTCCAGAAACCTGGCCTCCCTTGGTTGCTTGGGTAACGTTGCTTGGGGAGTGACTGACTCTGGTCGGGCTGGTTAATAAGTCACCCATCTGGGCCACAGCATCTGCTCTGTTGACGGTAGATGCGGGAGGGCTGGGGGGGGGGGGCACTGCTCACCTCAAGGGAGTTGTTGTCCTGTCCCAGCTGTGCTGTTCCTGGAATACCACCCCCGGCCCCTGGCTGGCAGAGCCTGCTCTGGGGGGGGGGGGGGGCAGGGGGGGGCAGGACAGCACATCGGCTGCCAACCTTGCTCCCACCAGCTGACTTCCAGGCTCACCCAACCTCCTGCCACCTCTGACCAGTCACCACGTGTCTGAAAGCCCAGGGCCAGCAGGTGTCCAGGGAGGAGTTGGTGGTTCCTTCACTCTCCAGTCCAGGCTTTCACTTACCCCCTTGCCTCAGGCCCCAAGTTGGCTGCTGCTCCCCATACAGCACCAGGGACCTCCTGAGGAGGGCTCCCTGTCCACCTCTCTGGGAGGACACCTCCTGCCTGCAAGAAGCCCTGCGGGGAAGCAGACTCACCCAATGCCTCACTCACCAGTCTGGGCTGTCCACAGCCCCCTTGGGGAGGACCCTGAGGGTGCTGTTCACGTCGAACAGGACATCGTCCTCCGTTATGGGGGGAACTGCCACCTGGTACAGGGGGTGCTCAAACAGCCGAGCCAGGAGGGAGCCGCCCCAGCGGGGCTCGGAGGGCTGCGGGAGCCGCCCCGGCCCGGGCGCCCGCAGAAGCGGCCTGTGCACCGGGTGTCGGGGTCTGGGGGCTCCGGGGCTCTCGGCAGCGTCGGTCCCGGGGGGCAGCTTCTCCAGCGAGTGGGACGTGAGGTTGGAGGCAGGATCGGAGCTGAAGTCCTGCAGGATGCGCAGCGTGTGCTTCTTGGGCCAGCCCGAGTCGCCGGTGGCGGACGCCGCCGCGGGGCTCTCGGCGGGGCGGCCCCCCGCAGGCCGCGTGCAGGAGCAGCCGGGTTCCCCTAAGGGCGGCGCGCTGCGCCGCTCCAGCTTGGGCAGTAGGTCCAGCACAATGTGCAACGCGCAGGCCACCAGGAACACCATGAGGATGAGCACGCGGAACCGCCGCACCAGGACCATCTTCATGGCAGCAGGGCCCGGCCCGGCGCGCCCGCGGCGCGTCCCCGCCCGGCTAGTCGCGGCTCAGCACGGACGCGGCGCGGCGGCGCGGGTCAAGGTCCATCAAGCGCGGGGCAGTCCCCGGGCCGCGGCCGGGCGCAGGGCGCCGGCGGGCAGCGCGCCCGCGCTCCGGGCCATGTCCGAGCCGTTCCCGCGGCCGCGAGCTGGGCGGGCTGCCGGGGCGCGGCGGCCTCGGCCCGGCTCACGGGGCGCGCAGGGGCCCGAGGCCGCGGCCCATCCCGGCCGGGGCGCGGCGGTGGCTCCTTGGGGCGCGCGGGGCTGGCGGCGGGGCCCGGAGGCGCGAGTCCGCGAGGGCCGTGGGGGTCGGGCAGGTGCAGCGGCCGACCCCGGAGCGCAGCGCCCGCAGCCCGCGCCCCGCGCCCCGGCCGGCAGATAAGCAGCGCCGCGGAGCCGCCCCCCGCGTCAGCGCCCGCGGATTGGCCGGACCCGGCGGCACCCCGGTTCTCCCCGCCCCGGCCGCGCCCGCCGTCGCCCGGCCGCGCCGCCCGCTGCGTCCTGCGGAGACCCGGACCTCGGCGCGCCCGCCCGAGGCCCCCCGGACCTCGCGTCCAGCCCGCGGCGTTTCCGGGGCGCGCGCGGGAGAGGAGGGGCCAAAGCCAGAGGGGACACGAGGAATGCCACCGGGCTCCTTCTCCGGGCTGGGGTGCCCCTCGCCCCACGGCCCCCCCGCTGCAGCTCGAGGAGCTGGTTTTGCTCCCAGCACTCAGCTGGAGTTAGGACAGCGGGGGGCGTGGAGGACCCTAGGGTCCTCGCCCTAGGCAGCAGGTTCAACACACAGCAAGACCCCGCCGGGGGTGCCCGCGAGGGCAGCCCGTTCTATTCCAGGAGGATGCTGCTCTCCCCTGCACACAGCTACAGCAGGGGAGTGTGCCAGACTTAGCCATGAACATCTCCCTACTCGCTGTCGCCTCTGCTCTCACCCAGGCAGCCCTCAGGACCCTCAGCGACATTGGCATAGGCTAGATGCTTGTTTGTGAAGCCAAGGAGGGGGCCAGCCACTGTGCAGAGAAACCATGTCCCCGGATTAGGGGCATCTGGTGGTACTGGGTGGTGTCAGATTCGACTTGAGGTGGAGCTCGCTCCCCTCTGCTCCTAACCCCACACTGACAGAGCCACTTGTGTGAGAAGAGGGTGTCCTGGAGAGAGGGAGGGAGCCGCTGAATGGAGACAGTTGAGAAGGTCCCACCACTTTGTCTCAGGGACAGGTGCTGGGGCACCAAGGAGCTTAGATCTACTGGGGTCTCCCTGGACATCAGCCACATCCTCCCTTGCTCACATATAGGGGTCTTCTATACACATACACGCACACACATACTCACAGACCCAGTGTATGGTCACATAGACGCAGACAAGCACAACATATACAAACATATACACCCAGACATATAGACCCAGTACTTGGACACACACAGACACAATCACAATGTACAAACATACACACGGGCACAGAAGCACAGAGACACAGCGCGTGCACAAATGCACTCTCTCACACAGGCACGGAAACAACAGACCGAGCCTGAGACTGCTGGGCGTCCCCGGGGACCCCTGGAGGTCCCGGGCTTGATCCCAGTCCTTCCCTGGCAGAGGGAGGGCCGGGCAAGTGAGATAAGAAGTGGGGTGAATCAGGGCTGGTGTGGATGGTGGAGCCAACAAAAGGGGCCCCTCTCTTACTGCCCTTATCCATTGGAGCCCTCCGCTACACTGTCCCTCAGGCTGTGCAGTGACAGAAGTGGGGGTACAACCGATCTTTGGTTTCCAGATGTGGGGAACAGTTCAGAAATGGCAGGTCCCAGGGCCGGAGCGATAGCACAGTGGGTAGGGCATTTGCCTTGCATGCGGCCAACCCAGGTTCAATCCCTGGCATCCTAAATGGTCCCCCAGCACCACCAGGAGTAATCCCTGAGCATCGCCGGGTGTGACCAAAAAGAAAAAAATAAAAGAGAAAGAAATGGCAGGTCCCTGGGGAGCACATGAGGCTCATGTCATGTTAGTCGTCACAGAACCAAGTGAGTGGACCCCCACCCCAAGGAGGGAGTGGGTAAGGGTGCTGGGCATGGAGGGGCAGTGCTGAGTTGGAGTGGAGAAGGCAGGCTGTCTGTCGGCAGTGAGTCTGCCCCACTCAGTGTCTGTCCAGAACAAAGGAGGCCCCAAAGGACTTGGCTACAGCTCAAGTGAGGATGTGTGAGGGTGTTGTCCAGGCCCTCCAGAGACTCCATGGTCCGGGGTTCCTTGGTGGGGTCCACTGTGCCTACAGGAGAGACTTTGTGTGCAGAGCCAGGTGACCACCACTTAACCTTTGGGAACAGAGCATGGGGACTCCTGTGCTTGTCTGTGAGAATCATAGCCAGGCCCAAGAGGGGACCTTCACAAGGCAGGGAGAGACTGGGGGGAGGGGCAGCAGCTTCTATGTGGCAATGAGGGACTTAGGTGGCTGTGGGGGACACTGCAGACATACACAGGACACTCTGGAGGGGACATGCCATGGACAAACCTAGCAGGGTCCCAGGTGGTAGCTGCCCTGCCTTTGCCTTGTCCTCTGGCCCATTGTCCTGCCCACAGCCTGATGGGTCTTTGAAATACAGAGCTTCTTAGCTCCAAATAAAAGCAACACATCACAAAGCCAAACTTAGAGTGAAGTAAACATTTAAAAATGCTTGACTTTCTGGAGCTGGAGTGATAGCACAGCAGGTAGGGTGTTTGCCTTGCACGTGGCCAACCCAGGTTTGATTCCCTGCATCCCATATGGTCCCCTGAGCACTGCCAGGGCTAATTCCTGAGTGCAGAGCCAGGAGTAACCTCTGAGCATCGCCAGGTGTGGCCCTCAAAAATATTTTTTTTTTAATTTAAAGAAAAATGCTTGACTTTCTTGGGGCTGATAGGGCAAGTGTTGCCTTGCATGTGGCTAATCTGATCCCCAGACACCCCACAAGGCCCCCGAGCACTGCCAGGAGTAAACCCTGAATATAGCCAAGTGTGGTGAAAAATGGGCTGGAGTGATAGCACAGCGGTAGGGCGTTTGCCTTGCGCGCAGCCAGCCCGGCTGAGTCGGGTTCGATTCCCCCGCCCCTCTTGGAGAGCCTGGCAAGCTACCGGGAGTATTCAGTATGCCAAACACGGTAACAAGAAGTCTCACAATGGAGACGTTACTGGGCCTGCTCAAGCAAATCGATGAACAACGGGAGGACAGTGACAGTGTGTGGTAAAAACATTGGTTTTTTTATTGACAAAAGTTTTAGAACGTTTGACTTACTTTTGCACATTCTGTAGTGTTCAAATGTATTTATATTCTTTTCTGACATGTGTGGACCACAAGGACGAAGTGAAGATTACCTATGGTATATTCACTGAGTCAATAAACATACATATGCACACAGGATGCCTTCACAGTCTGTTGACTGAATCAGCATATGACAGACACACACACAGAGATGCCGACCTCAATACATAATCTATAGTTTATTCACAGAACACAGTGGACGTTAGTAAAACTGAACCTAAGCTTTACAAACATTTGTACTTGAAAATGAATTCCACAAATAAAACAGAAATCTGCAAGATGCCAGGAAGCAACAGAGGTACTATGGACCTCACAACAGAGGACAAACCTTCTGGGCACTGGGAGGGCTCACAGAAGGTATAAGGCCATGCCATGGGGAACAGGACAGACCCAGCGAGGTCCAGGAGAGAGCAGAACAGTGGGTGAAGCTGGTAGCAAAGAGGGCATTCTTGGAAGAGGCCACTTGAGAGCCAGTACAATGTGACATGTGATTCAAGAGAAAAGAGAATGAAAAAGAGGCCAGCGTGTGGTGGGGCAGGAGCAGGCTGGCAACCAGCCCGGAAAAGACAGCGGTGATGCAAGGGAAGTTGGTTCTGTTACAGAAAAAAATTCAAACAATTCCAGCTGAGTGAAGAAGTACTAAGAAAAAGAATAGACAGCCACCACAGAAATGCAAAAGTGGTCAAACCTCTATTTCTAAGAGCAGAGGCAGCCCATTTTCTCGATTGGCTGCGGACTGTCTGCCATCCAGCCCCGCCCCCCCAGCCCCCTGTGTTCATCCTTCAGATGCAAGGGGCCCAGTGGGTGGCCTGGAGCTCCAACTCCTCCTAGACATCACTGCTCCTGGAGGGGAGGCACCACGAGGGCCTCAAACCCTGAGCTGGTGAGTGCTTTTGGTGTGAAGCTGTTGCACATACACAGACCCTGGAAACAGTTTCTAGAGAATTCTCTGTATTTGGGAAGCGCACTTTTTTTTTTTTTGCTTTTTGGGTCACAACCAGCAATGCACAGGGGTTACTCCTGGCTCTGCACACAAGAATTACTCCTGGCGGTGCTCAGGGGACCATATGGGATGCTGGGAATCAAACCCGGGTTGGCCGCGTGCAAGGCAAACACCCTATCCGCTGTGCTATCTCTCCGTCCCTTGGGAAGCACACTTTAAGGCTATTTTCAGGACCCACTGACCATTGGCAGCTGCATCCCAGGATGGACATGAAAAGGGATGTGACTGGATGTGGCTCTGTGCTGCCACAGCAGAGGAGGTTGAAAGCCTCAGCTCAGGGGCATGGCCACCCTTGGTCCAGAGAGGCAGAGGCTCAACTCTTTCAGGAGCTGCTGTGCAAGCTGCACCCCGCCCAAGGCTCCGTGGGGGGAGCAGCAGCAGCTGAGGAACATAAAGGAGAGCAGGCACCTGACTCGGGGTGGTGTCTTGGAGCCCCCTAATGAAGTGGGAGGAGGAGCAGCAGCATCTGAGGAGAAAGGCAGGTGGGCAGGTCAGGTGGCCTCTGCCTTGAAGACTTTTGTTGCTTGGGTCTCAGGTCAGACAGCATGGACCTGTTGACCAAGACTGTGCCTCCTGAGCAGTCACCCAGTGGCCTCTCTCTGCCCAGCAGGTGCCCCAGGCTGGGCTGGAGGTGCAATGATGGCCACTGTCCAGAAGGGTTTCCCTGTGAGGCTGGGAGGAGAACTGAACCCCGTGGAAGTTTCTTTAGACAGTCCCCTGCCCAGGGTTGAAGCCATAGTCCAGTGGAGGAGGGCTCTTGCCTGACACGTGGCTGCTCTGAGATCCATCGCCTGCATCCCATAAGGTCCCCAGAGCCAACCAGGGGTGACTGTGAGTGCGAAGCCAGGAGTGAGTCCTGAGCACCGCTAGGTGTGATCCCAAAACTATCAAACAAACCTACCAAAGTCCCTGCCCACCTGTCCAGGACAAGGCAGCACCAATGCCTGCCAGCCCTTAGAGAAAAGAAGAGTGATAGTGGGAATGATGGTTCTGGGGACCTTGGTGGTTCTGAACGCTAAGTGGAGGTGGAGTCTAATTTGGGTGCTGTGGATGAACCCAAGTGCCAAGTCCCTGAAGGTCAGACCTTTCTTTGAAAC